CTAATGCTGTACCTCATTAAATACCACATTAGGTCACACTGGTTTTTAAGCAGCCAGGTTAAACAATTGACTTAAACTGAAATTACTTTCAGCTAACACCTCCCCAAGTCTTTTTCACACGTGCTGCCGCTAAACCCCATGTCCCCATCCTGCACTTACGCAACAGTTTTTTGTTCTGGTCCTTATATTTCCCTTCACTAGTGTTATTATCTCATTCTGACCCGTTACTCTACCAGTGTCCAACCTTTTGGTGTCCCTGGGACACACTGGAAGAAGAAGAGTTGTCTTGTGTGACACATTAAAATACACTGTGACATGTAGTCACAAAAAACTCAATGTTTTAAGTAAATTTATGACTTTGTGTTAGGCCACATTCATGGCCATCCTGGGCCACATTTGGGCCATGGGCTGAACACCCCTCTAGCTTATCATGATATTTTTGTGTCTCAAGATTGTCATCTACAACACCTCATATTCCTCCAAAATTTTTTTGCATCCAACATTTTATCAAGCACGTTTTCCATATCTTTATCTAAGATGTTCCAAAGCTCAGAGCCCTGTTTTATGTCTCTAGAGATCACCTACTAGGTGGACTTGGACTCACTGATCAGACCCATTTAAGTATTGTTATTCATTTCTTCGCATCTAGCCAACATTTTCCTGTCTTATTCCCAAGGACTATGAGAGGCCTTTTGGGGTATGTCTTACTGAAGTTCACAAAGAACCACATTTCTCTAATCCCTGTCACAACAGGAAGTGGGCCAGCTCTCCCCACCTAAAAGCATCCTATAGGGGGAGTCAGAGCAAATGCTGAATCATTGTATAGTAAGATTGTCCACATTTGGACTTTTTCCTCCTACAACACTCCTTGGCACTTTTCCATGAGATTAATTTTTTTCATAAGACCAATTAATGTTGAGATTACAAGTCCAGAAATAGGACTGGATTTTACCCGAAGCAATGCTTGCACATGTTTTGTGGCCATTCAGTTTAACAATTTCCCTCACTTATGCTAAACTAGGAAATACTAGAATGTGTCAAATAGAATGTTAGAGATAAACTATGTCCCCCGGTCCCAGTCCAGCAGTCAACACCTTGTCTACCCCTTCATCCCACCCTCACCAACTCCCCCCTAAATCAAGATTCATTAGCACTGGCTTAGACTGCTTCCTCGTGAGTGTCCCTCTTTCAGGTGGTCCTTTGGCTGGGCCACCCTCCCTAGAGCTATCAATGCCAGACCAAGTCACTCTTGCTCAAAACTCTTCAGGATCTCCCTGCCACACTCCAGATTGAGTCCAGTCCTCCTCTCTCTCTGACGGTCTGCTCAGAGCAGCCACCTACCCATTCCTCCAAGCTGACACCATTCTTCTCTAAATGTCCCCCCCACCAGGCCTTCCTGATGCCCATCTTCATCCTGAATGTTCCTCAGGACAGGAATATTCTAACACGTTTCTAGATTTAGAAATCTTGTTCCTCTCCCAAGTGATAAACTAAATGCTTTTCCTCAATGAAGCCTTAACTGATCCCTCCATTGGAAGTTACTTCTTCCTCCACTAAGCTCCTGTTAGCACCATGTAACTTCCAACTGAAGGTTGTCTTTTGTAGAATTATGTGTGTGCTTGTTGTTATCTGAAGGCTCTTCTGGTGCTGAGACAATAGCTTATTCACCTGATTAGCTCACCAAGGGCCAGGCACCTGCTAGGCAGGCAGGCGGACAGATGCCTGGCCAGCATTGAGACTCAAGAGAGGAGAAATAACTTGTCAAGATCATGAAGTTTCAACTAATAGAATTTAACAATAGAGTCACTTTCAAAATTCAGTAATAAAGTATTTGTCAAGCACTGCACCCTATTCTATTCCATGGTTTTGCTTTGATCCTTATGTGGAAGTGTTAGTGAAAAACATCCAGTTTTTAAAATTAGAACAAAAGTCTTGTATTTGATTGTTTGCTATGTTTAAAATGTATTACCCCTTACTTTTACATGCTTAGGAATGTAAATGTGGAAAGGTGTATGGTGGGTTTTTCCTACCCCTGACTTTGAACTTCAGAAATCATTTGAAAGGAAACTCTTCCCCTTGAGAACATGTGTCCCATACAATTTACAACATCTGCAAATATATTGGAAACATTGGTCTTCAAATCTAAACATCTCAATTATTTGTTTTTTGGTTCTACTTATTTTCAATGAGGCATAGGCTAGGGATTTGCTGTTAAAAAATAGAAATTAGCCCTGGCTGGTGTGGCTTAGTGGATTGAGCACCGGCCTGTGAACCAAAGGGTCGCCAGTTCAATTCCCAGTCAGGGCACATGCCTAGGTTGCTGGCCAAGTCATGTCCCCAGTAGGGGGCACATGAGAGGCAACTGCACATTGATGTTTCTCTCCCTCTTTCTTCCTCCCTTCCCCTCTGTCTAAAATAAATAATAAAATAATAGAAACTAAGCCTCAGGATGAAATGGTTACCCCACCTAGAGATTAGTGGTTCTGGCTTTCTCAGGCTACAGTTTAACAAGAGCGTGATGTTGTCAACCTGAGCTAGGGCTGATTTATCTTATTTGAATCTGAAAGGGAGCCCACATCCTTCCTGTTGCCACGCACTCAAAGATGCTGAAAAGAATTCACAGAGAAAACAGAGGCGCTAATATGTGTTATGTTCCCCAGCCGTCCTGTCCTCTGTGCCCCTCAAACAGTGCAGTGATTGGGAATGAAGTCAAACAAGGGAAGAACAGAGGAATAAAAGTATAAAATGCTTAGGAAAAGCCATCTAGAAGCTCTACTTTTTAATCTGCTTCTAGTGTTTTTTAAATGTGGTTCTGCAGATAGTGAAAGGGGGACAGAAATGCAGGGTCACCTTTCCCTTTTTCAGGTCAAATTGCTATCTTGCACAATAGACCCACAGAGACTTGCTCTCGCTCGTGGGTCGGCCAGCTCCTACAGCACCAGTTTCAAAGCGAAGGCGGCAGTCTGTCCTTTCATTCTTCTGTGATGTTGGAACCCGTTTCTTGCTTTTTAAAAAAAGTTTCCCCAAAGTATGGAGTGGCTGAAACACAAGTCATTTGTTTTGGCAATCCAATCGAGATTTCCAACTTGCCTTCAATGTTAGTAAAAATAATAACAACATGAATTATTATATTGGCATGGCTTGGATAGATTGGCTGTAAAGGAAAAAACTGAAGAAAACAGAAAGGAAAGGAGGGAAGAAGAAAGCAAGAGAGGGGAGGGGCCTCGCTTTTCTTACCAGATATTTCTGGGGTTGCCTCTAGTACCAGCAAGGCTTGTCAGTATTAGTGATATGGTCACGTTCCAGAAAGTCACAACTAAGAATCCAAAGCCAGCTGATAAAAGCAAGGACTGCTTCACAATGAGTGAGTATGTTAATAGCAGTTGGACACACTGTCACTACACTGTCAGAAGTTAAAGATGTCAGATTTAAATTAGATATAACAGGGAAGTTCTCCAGAAAGGAGAGATGTAAAATATGATTCTTTCCAGGGGAGATGATGCAGTATTTCTGGAGGTCTTATAATAAGCAAGATTACCATCCTACAGTATTGGCATGATCCCTACACTTTCTTAATTCCAAATTCGTTTCTGCCCATAAACTCTGAGCATACATTTATTTAAGATATTTATGGGGTCATGAATGCTATTTATCTTGTATTGTGTTGAAACTTTACCCTATTAGTTATAACCGAGCAATCTATTGACATTTTTACCCTCTAAGGAAAAACTTTAAAATCATATAAAAAATGTATAATACAATTTGCCTGGGAAATACAGAGTAACTCCAAGCAGATAATTTGATGCTTTGAAAATAAATAAAAACAGAGTAGAACCTGAACTAAAAAAATAACTGGTTCCTTCCATGCCCCCCCAAAGATATTTTAGAACATTGGGGTTCTCCTTTTATTATTAAGTATTCATTGGGTTTTCAGGAACTCCTAAGGTTTTTTTCCTGTTAAAAGTATAATCTTATTATATAAAACCCACTTATTTGGCCACACAGAGCAAATAGAATCATCCTTTCATCACAGTAGTGCAGTCCATATATCATAAACACAATTGTTATCACCATTACATTTCAGCTATTTCTCCAGAAACATTTAATCAAAAGTTCATAATATGTGAGAGATCAGCAGACAACATTTGGGGCTGCAAACATTGAACAAATACAGGGTATTTTTTTTTGTTCACCTTTACCCTTGAGTTACCAACCCCTAGGAATTTGCCACAGACTCAAATATCAGTGCCAGAAGAAATATTCACAATTATCTGGATCAATCATTGTAGAGGCTAGCTAGGCTCAGGAAGGGTGAGAGGCTTACCCGAGGCCACAAGGGTCAGGCAGCACTCTGTAGGCATGTTTGCTTTCTCTGAAATCATTTTTTTCAGCTCTCAGGGAACATATGCCACCAGACAGTTTACCACTTTTGATCAAATGCCCCAAGCCTTTGACCCGGGTTAATTTTTGATTATTGAGTGTTGTCTGTAGACATACAAGACAAACCATAGTTGCCAGCAGCACAGGTTTTTGTTTTGTTTTTTAACATTCACTCAGTAACACAGGTTATTAATAGCTACATTTTAAAAAAGAAATAGATTAAAGTAACTTTAATAATATTTTATTTATAAATATTTATAAATATTTTAATAATATTATATTTTATTTAAGGCAATGTATCCAAAATAGTATCATTTCAACATTCAGTCTATATGTTTTAAATTACTAATGAGATATTTAATGTTCTTTTCTTCATTCTAAGTCTTTGAAATCCAGTTACACACATGTATTTTACACTTAGGTCACATCTCAATTTGGACCAGCCACTGTGGTTAATGTCAACATATCGTATTGGCCAGTGAGGTCTATAATAAGCAAGATTGTTATAAATAATAATCTAAAGAGGCCCAAGCTTTGCAACAAACCACAGTCTCCTAACCCTTGAATTGTAAATATCTCTATGTCTAGTTCACGGTTCTTTTCATTCTTGCCCTTGATAGGCCATGCCTGTTTCCTGAAAACCCAGAGAGAGGTAAGCAAGCATGAAGTGCTGTACAGTGAGTGTATCCATTGAAAACATGTCCCACTCTTGCTAAAATAGTGTTGTTATGTGTTATGTTATTTCTGCCTTCCTCAAATTCCATGAAATTCCGTATTTCCTTAATGTCAAAAGTTCCCTTAGCAGCTGCAGCTGTTTCCTGTGGATAGTGTTCTAAATGGCTTTTCTTTATGAGATACCTTGAACTGTAACTGTTATTGGAATGAATATGTATTCTAAAACCTGTACCCCAAGCCAGTCTACTTAACAGTCTTCTAAGAAATAAGTGTTAAACCTTAGTTGTAGCTTTCAACAGTTCATCTCTCACTTTGACCTAATTGAGAATTCTAATGTTAAAATATGTAAGGAGAGAGAGAAAGTAGGAGATTATTTTTGCCTTATGTTTTTTCGTGCATCGTCCTTCACCTCTCCCAAACCCCAACCAGCTAGGCAAGGTAACACGTGGAATAGTAATGAATAACTGTAGAAACTGAGGCATTTTCTCATCATTGTAGTAGAAATAATAATAGACCTGCCCTCACTAGTGAGAATGAAGCATAAAGCTTAGCTTCTGACACACAGTTAGTGCTCAACAAAAATGATAGCTATTATTATTTACTTTGCAATTGCTTCAGAAAATGGGATGGACAAAATAGAGACCAAGTAGGTATATCTATTCTGAAAAATGGGAAGGAAGCCTGCCAGCTTTTTTTTAGGACGTTATCCACATGATTCTTGGAACCAAACCAGGCTCCACCCAGAGCTGAGAGCTGTTTGTTTGCAGCGTGTCTTCAGCATGACTGTGCGAACCAGCCTCCCTTCCAGTGATAACAGGAGTGTTGGAGCCAAAACGATTAGCTCATTTCAAAGGCCGTATAATGATGGTGGAGGACAGAGCTGACCCAAATAGTGTGTTTCAAGTCATCAGAGCACGTTCACATACGGTTTTCATGGTGAACGGTGACAGCTGGACAGGAGAAGGCAGTGTAAGTGTTCTGCATGTCATTTGGGATGCGTCTTTAGACAGTTCCATGGAGGAAGGGAAAAAATGAATATAAGACTTACAAAATAACTCCCCCTTCCCTTGACTTTTTGCCTTGTCCTCTGCTACCCAATAAACCCTTTTAGCTGGAGCCCATTGGCTCTCCTTGAAGCTTCCAGGCAGCATCTTTTGGTTGAACACAACTGAAACCATGCTGAGTAGTGACTTGGCATTCATGACATAAGTGCAGTTCTTACTGAAAACTGGTGAGTTCTTAAAATACTCTTAAATCACTTTCTCTCTTCTGATCTTCCTCAGTCTACTTACTAACGTGCGGCCTGAAAGAGTAAAATATTGACACTTAGGTAGGAAGACAGTAGAGAATCCTGGGCTACGTGCAGGCCTCTGTGGACACATTTTAATTTTTTGAAGAACACTGTGGTCATCTAAATTATTTGTCTAACCATTCATCCTGAGTATCTGAATTCTCCGAAGCTGGCATTTGTCTTTTGGGAACCACTATTCATCGGCTTCTGTGATCCAGACATAAGTGCTCAGATTATACAAGGGATGGCCTCTCTTCTGATTCGCCTGAAGTTTTAACTCTCGTTACCGTTAGCAGGTTCTGAAGCTGAAACCCACTTATATAAAGTCACTGCCTGACAGCATAGAGAACAATCCGCCTCTTCACTTGACCTTGCACACCATGCCCTTTGTTCCCTTGCCTTAGGTAGGCAGCTGCATACGTTAGCAAAAGAGAGGGCCATTAAAAAAGTACACCAAATTGTGGTATATTCATGTCATGGAATACCGCTCAGCCATAAAACTACTATAGTGAATGAAGTAGTAACTACTATACTACTCAGCAGTAGTGAACTACTGACATGTACATTATCGTGGATAAGCATCAAAAATAGGTAGACTCAAAGAATGTGATTACGTTTATATGAGGTCCTGGGCCAGACAAAACTAATGTCTGGTGGTAGAAATCACAACTGTGGTTGTCGTGGATGGGACTGACTGTAGAGGGACACCGCCGGATCTGTCTGGGTTGATGAAAATGTTCTCTATCTGGCCCTGGCTGGTGTAGCTCAGCGGATTGAGCACGGGCCTGCAAACCAAAGGATCAAGGTTCGACTCCCAGTCAGGGCACATGCCTTAGTTGCAGGCCGGTTCCCACCAAGGGATGCATGAGAGGCAACGATATATCGATATTTCTCTCCCTCTCTCCTTCCTTTCCCCTCTAAATGATAAATAAGTAAAATCTTTTTTTAAAAAGTTTTTAAAAAATTTTTAAAAAGAAAATGTCCTCTATCTTAGTTTACACGGGCTTAGTTTACACAGGCATGTACCTCTGTCAGACCGAACTGCACACTTAGCATGTACATATTGAACTGTGTGCGAATTACACCCAAATGTGAAAAAGAAAGAACATGAAGAAAGAGGGAGAGACTTGAAAATTTCACAATACTGCTAAACATCCCCACATTGTTAGATATTCTTTTTATCTCTGAGGGTTTTCCCGAAGCTGGACACCAGCCCTTTTTGTACCAGGTGTGTGGCGGGGCAGCAGGTGCCTCTTTCCTTCACACTCTTCCTGGAGCCACAGGCGGCCAGCCACACTTCAGAAGCACAGAGTGGTTCCTTCCTTTCCACAAAGCTCGTCTTAGATTATATGGGAAATTGATGTTTGGTAAGTTGTACAACGGAAATTTATTATTACTTGAAGAATGTTTTTAAGGCATATAGTCACTCTCTAATTAATAATTGGCTGTGTTAATTTGGAATTTGCAAAGGTTACAAAAAGAACCAGGACTTTTTGTGAAGTGTTCTGTGTTATGAAATGTAGGTGTTAACATTAAATTCTAAATCGCTATCCCCTCACCCTCTCCCTCCAACCATCCTCCCTGCCGTTGAGTAACCTTCTGAAAGACAAATCTATTGTGTGGCTCTTACTCAGAAGCCTCGATGGCCTGCTCCTCCTTTCTCATCTAGGCCCCTGCCTAACCTTCTGCTGGTTGTCTGCCTACATGCTTTTGGTGCTTTTGGTGCTTTTAGTGCTTGTCACACTAAATCAGGCTGCACCCTGGAATGTTCCTTCCTGGATCTGCACCCTCGTAAGAGCTATTCCTCGGTCTGCAGAGCACTTAACCCACCCCACTCTTCCACAAGTCCTTTCTGAAGCCCCAGATCACATGCTTATCCTCTGATGATCTGTCCAGCTTCCACGGAGTAGAAGTGACACCCACATGCCTGAGCCCCTCAGAGCATCATGTATATTTATTCAGAAGAACACACATGCCGCAATGAAGCAGAACAAATCCTTTCCATGACTGCCTTCTCCCACTGGCTGGACTCTTCAGCTGTGGGCACGGCATTTTGCATCTTTGTGTTCTGTGCACTCTGCAGGACACACAGTCTTGGTCCATAAATGGTGGATGGATTCACTTGTTTGCTTGTTCATTCCACACTGCAGTAGCCCTCTTTATGGTACCTCTGAAGCGGATACAAATAAGAACCAGGATGTGCTGTGGCCCTAGCAGCAGACTTTCAAGGACAGTGTTACAGTGTTCTGGCCCTGTTCTCTTTGCTTTCTTTGTCCAAGTGGTAACAAGAACCTGACAATGCTCTCCTCTTAGGTTGTACTTTGTACCTCTCCTCTGCATGAAAGAATTCCTACCCAGTTCTGAGAAAGAAAACCAGAACATAACACTAATAATGTAAACCAGGGCAGGAAAAAAGTAAAAGATATGATACATGTACCACCTAACAATAAATCAGCTTTCTACATTCCCTGAATACCTTTGCATATACCACTGTGTTTTATCGTCACAAAAACCCTGTGAATTAAGCAGAGAAGGGATAATTGTCCCAGCAAGCAAATGAGAAAGCCGAGGTGAAGTAAAGGCCAGATGATTTTGCCCAAAGTCACACGTCTGGTTAATGATAATGCTGAGACCAGAATAGAAGTCTCTGTGCTCACTCCAGGCTGGGAGATTGTTCAAAAATAGAGTTCCCAGGAAAGATCAAGTAATTGCTGGGAAAGCACTTCTGATCTCCAAGGAAAACAAATCTTTCCAGCTGAGTGCCCTCCCTAAAGGCCTGAAGAGTATCATCCGCTGAATAGCTACTCTTTTGTCTTCCGCATGAACCACCCCAGGCCGAAGGCCCCTGTGAAATCTAGGAGAATCAAGAGCACTGCACACTGCCAAAATATATAGGAAACTTATGGAATAACTAATTGTCCACTTAGATAGAAATTAGGGAATATCTTAAGTCCTTTTCAGGACACAGGTGTGGGTGCTGATGCAGACACAGGCTTTGTTGCTGTGTGTGTGTGTGTGTGTGTGTGTGTGTGTGTGTGTGTGTGTGTGTGTGAGAGAGAGAGAGAGAGAGAGAGAGAGAGAGAGAGAGAGAGATGAGGCAGTTCTTTCTGCTAGGCCAATGTAGCATTGAAAAGCAAACGTGTAACAGTAGGATAATGGCTGCTGAACCTGCATTTGCAGCTGTGGCTGCATCATTTCTCTGGGGAAGGCAGGTGGCTATTCTCCAACCCTTCATAAAGGGCAAGCATCGGGAACAAAAAAAGAACTTGCTCACATGTAATACTGCCTGGTCCTGTTTCACATCCCACATTGGATGGCTAACTCAGGAGCTGACAGCAGAGACAGCTCATCGGCTTTGAGACCCAGGATTCATTCTATAAGACCTCTCAGACCTCTTTTTTTCTGTAATAAATAAAATCCCGTGTATTTCTATTGGGAATAAAAGGGCCAGATCTTTTCAGACACTAACAAAAGAGGGGCTATGAATTTGGTGTGCCCTACTGATGTGCTACACAAAGAAGACCACCACCATTTTGAACCTTAAATGTATTCGTAATTGTGTTTAGAACAAGGCTGCCTTTGTCATCAAACTGTAAGCAAATTCTTCTTCTGGGTTTAGGTTTTATACAGTAAAATGATTAAACACACTGTAGGTCATCTAGCACAATGTATATCCATCTCGGGTA